AAACCAAAACAATCCAACGTTGTCCAGGTTTAGCAAAAGGTAATCTAATCAGAAGGTCGTTGGTTTGATCCCAGTCTTCCCCTTTCACATGTTGAAGTGTCCTTGGACAGGATATTGATCCCTTAATCGTTGTGCTATTCTCATACAAAAAAGTGCAGCACATAGAAGAGCTCTATATAAATACAAATCATTTACAGACCATATGCCATAGTTTAGACACATACCAGTCTCACAGTTCACACTGCTTGTCAGGACAAACACCAAGCAAAGCATTCCAATTAACTCTTTAGATCTGTGTGATAACAGTGAGGCAAAGATCAGAGGGGCTACAGTTTTTAGCAGCACACCCTCAATCAGGTCTTTAGAGCAGATAGTAGGAACAGGGAGACTGGTCAGAGATAAGGGAAGGATGAATGCTGCCAAATGTAGAGTGGTGGAAAACAGGCAATAATTTTTACCTTTAGAAATAATAATAAATAATTGGTTATATATTTAAAGGTACAGTGTGTAGAATTTACTGATATCTAGTGTTGGAATTGCATGATGCAGCTGAATATCCTTCACCTCATCCTCCCCTTCCAAACATGAAAAAGAACCTGTAGTAAACCTTCAGTTGTCATAAAAATTCAAAAGGTGTTTAGTCAAAACTGTCCCCATGATGTGAATGAGTTTTAAATTCTCTGCTCATTACACCAGTGCAGTCAACATAGAAGGATTCTTCGGTTACCTAGATGCACATGTTCCCACCCTCCACCATATCTGGGCAACACATGTTAAAGAACTCCTATTTTCAGCAGGTAAACTGATCCACTCACATACTGTTTGCTGATAGATTACAAGATGAGAGCAGTGTCCCTGCACTCACCTGGGCCTCATCTGTCTGAATGGAAACAAAGAAGGCAGGATAACTCGACCTCAGCGTTTAAAGAGACATGAAACATAAACCAAAGTTACAGATGTGAGAGAGGATAGGATACTGGTTACTATGAGTAACACTTCATTCATGCTCCTTTGCAGGAAAGTATCTTTTATTCTGCCTTTGACACATAAATAGAAAAGGTGAAGTTACTTTTACAGTTAGATTTGACTGAAAAGTGATCGTGGTAGCAGTTGATCATGGATTATGATTGCAACTAGATTACTTAGATTTACAATATTCATACTCACGTATACTACTATTATTGGCAATACCTCTATCATTACAATTGTCACAATAAACTGATCAACTCTATGGGAATGAGATGTGTCGCACTGCGTGAGGCAAATGGTGGTTGTACTAGATACTGACTGGTTATCTCTGTGTGTGTGTGGTTGAATTGCTGATGGTGATGTGCCAGTGTGTGAGAGAGATGGAGAGGGAAAAAGACAGGAAGCGAGGAGGTGTAACACTTGCACAATGTTATTTCACTGATTTTTCTACCCCTGGATTCTGTCTTAGCTTAACACACACACAATTTTACTTAAGTCACTGCACTGTGATGTCCATCATTTCCGTTGCAAACATTTGGTTTAAGGGTTTCATTCTGCAAAATAGTACCATAAAAGTATTACCTATATTTAAAATGTGGGAAGATGGGCCAATAGGTTTAAATATACATTTTACAGAAAGTCCATGATAACCCTCCTTCTCTCCACATAAAATCGTAACGTTTTTCTGTATCAAAGAAAACTAGTCATCACTTCTTAGTTAGAAAGTATGATAATCTGAAAACAGGAGGTTAATGCAATTGATCTGTAATTTTCAGTATGAGATAAAAATTTTCTTGGTTTATCTATAAAAGGTAAAATGAATGCCATCCTCAGTAGTGCTCCTTCTGTCCATATCCTATTGAAAAGTTTCAGCACTATGTCTGCTGTGTCCTCTGGCATTTCTTAGGAAATAATCATAGGAAATAATGTAGCATAACTGATCTTGTCCCAGAGCAGTATTCCTGCTGCCCTCTAGTGGCCTTCTCATTTTCCTCCAGGTAAATTCCATGTCCATGGTTGAACTGAATTACTGCTTTTTATCATGCACCATTCTTCCCATAAGATTTGTTTTGTCCACATCTGTCATTGAAATAAGGTCTCCTCAGCAAGTAAGTGTATTTTCATTTTTTATTAATTTGACATGCTTTTGCCCTTTTTTGTTGTATTCCATTAAACTGTTTAAGTTCAGTTCTGAAGTTTCTGAGAGATTACTTTCTTTCTTTAATGGTCAAACAACGTTCATCATTCCACAAAGGCACAATTCTCTTATTTCCTATTATGACAGTTTTAGGTATAGAGGCAGCTTCAATCATTGTGTTTGTAACTTCATTAGTGCATTCAATATTCAGGGTCTCACGTGATATTTCCTTGTGTACTGTTTTTTTTTATTGTTATCTTTTTGATGTACAATGTACTGTTCTGCAGCTGCTGTAGCACTTTGGCTCAATAATGATTTCCCCATGGGACAATAAAGTATATTTGATTTGATTTGATCTACAGAGCCATCCATTTTAATGTTGTTAGTTAATTCCCAGCAGCACTCTTTAAACTTGTCCATTGAGCCTTATTAAAGCACCACCTATATAGGAACACTTTCATGAGTATATTTATCAGTATTTTAAGGACACATGATGGGAAAATTATCACTATATGTTATTATTGCATATTGTCTATTCACATAGGCCAGCTATATTTGCAGAAACTATGGTTAAATCAACACATGACCTCTTGTTTCTATCTATCTAATCTTGTACCCTTACCATTGTTTATAAGAGTCCTTGTATTTTACATTTCTTCAACCACTGTACCATTATTATCAGTATGATCACTGCCCCATAGACTATTGAGTGCATAAAAGTCACCACACAAACATTCCTGTCCCAATATCTCCTGAAACACTACTCCTGTTAGGGCCTGACATGGGTTGTAGAAATCAACTATTTTGATGGAATCTTATGCTCTTAATACCTCAACAACTACATTCATGTCCAACAGAAGATTCATTCTTCTGAATGCTAGATTTTCTTTAATGAATGTGATGCAATCAGCCACTTGATTATTTGATATAGTATCATGTCTGACTGAGCTATATCCTGCCAGAACATTAATCATCCAACCATTACATCTGGTTTGTCCTTAACATCCTTTATAACTTTCTTAAAGTTACAGTGTGGAGAATTTTGTGATATCTAGTGTTGAAGTTGCATGTTGCAGCTGAACAACCCTCACCCTCTCCTTCCAAACATGAAAAAGAACCTGTGGTAGACCTCAGTTGTCATAAAAACTCAAAAGGTGTTTAGTTTGTTCAGTCTGGACTCATATAAAGTATTTAAATATAAATGGCCTTTTCTAGGGT